GCCGCCGCCGCGGCCGCTCGGGAGAGGTAGAGGCTCCGGGGAGGCGGGCGTTTTCCCGTCATTAAATCACGTCATGCAGAGGAAGCGGGCGGGAGAGCCAATGGGAGCGTCCGCAGGAGACTGCCAGCGACTCGGCCGGAGCTTCTGGGTATTTGCATAATATATGCAAATCACCTGAACAAAGACTAGGAATGACCCCCTCTTCAGATTTTAGCAGCGGAGACCCTAGGTGGGCCTGTGATTTCATGCCCTGTCATTTTCCAAAAGAAAAAGAATTCTTTTTTTTTTAGAGTTAATGTCATTGGCAATTCTGTGTTCTTCCAACAGTGGATATCAAGGCAGTACTATTTCCCCCCCTTTGTTTCGTAGTACTTGGCTGCAAAACCCTTTGCCTCTCACCAGGCCTACCTAGTCAACATTTTCGTGTTATTTTTTTTTTATGTATATGAGGGATGCGCTGGCCTTTACGGTGGTTGAGCAAGCTGGAGGTTGACGTGTCTCTCGCAGACTCTTCATTTTCTGAAACAGACTCTTTCCGTGAATCTGGATAGTTGGATGGGTGAGCAGGGATTCCAGATGGACTGGCCAACGAGCTCCAGGGATCTTGTCTCTGCTCCCCAGCACTGGGGTTACAGACGGCCTCATGGTTGCATAGCAAGTACTTCATCCACTGAGCCATTTCCCCAACCCCAGAAATGACTTTTGTTTGGGATTTAATTATTTTTATTTCCTGTGTATGGATATCTGCATGTGTACATATGTACCATTGTAGGTTCCTGGTGGATCTCAGGAAAGGATGTTGCATCCCCTGGAACTGGACTTACAGGTGGTCGTAAGCTCCCGGATGTAGGGATGTAGGTGCTGGGAATCCAATCCAAGTTTTCTGCAAGAACAGCAGGTGCTGTTAACTACTGAGCCGTCTCTCCAACGGCCATCAACAGCAACAGCAGAGGTCAAGGGTGATCTGACTCTCTGCTAGTGAACGCAGGGTAAAAAGTGCTCTAGGGCCGGGCGTTGGTGGCGCACGCCTTTAATCCCAGCACTCACTCGGGAGGCAGAGGCAGGTGGATCTCTGTGAGTTCAAGGCCAGCCTGGTCTCCAGAGCAAGTGCCAGGATAGGCTCCAAAGCTACACAGAGAAACCCTGTCTCGAAAAACAAAACAAAACAAAAGTGTTCTAGGAAACCTCAGGTACATGACGAGAGAGAAGAGGCATCGACTTGTAATCCCAGTGATGCAGAGGCAGGGACAGATGGATCGACCAGGATTCTGACTGTCTGTCTCTGTGTCTCTCACACACATACACTGAAACATGGTGCAAATCCTACTCAGTTTTGAAGGGGATACATATAGTTCAGGTACGGAAGGCCGATGAGTAGAAGCAAAGGCTTGCAGGCCTGTGCCCGGCTAACATAGGTAAATAAAGGAATCACTTGCCAAGTGCAGACAATGAAGTTAGCAGGGCACAGTTAAGAATTAGCATGTGCTTGTAATCTTGAAGCAGCCTACCTGGGGCACTGGGTGCTAAGCACTGTTTAAATTGTTACTAAGTACTAGCAATAAGCTCTTTAAGTTTTTATTGTAACCGCCCCTTCTGACCACTTCCCTGTACACAAGCAAGGACACTAGAACATGGGGCTATTTGATTCCGCAGTTGGCAGCCCTCCTACCTTCCCTGGCTTCCTTGAGAGGAAGGAAGGTCTGTCAGTCAAGCTGGCCAGACCACTCGTTGCCAGCATCCATTCTTTTGGACACCCCACAGTGTTAAAGAAACAATAATGCAGCTGGGTGCTCCAGCCCCTGAAGGCACAGCCCCAGTCAGTGCTGTTTCAAATAGTTTTACTGAACTCTCTGCTCTCACAATGTAAGACCCCCCCCCCCCAAGAGGTACTTTCGTAGAGGGAGACCCACACCCAGGAATAAGCGAGGCCACGAACTTGGATGCAAAAACAAGAGGTTTTATTGGAGCCGCGGGTACCCGGGGCGACTTAGCTTCTGTGTGGCTAAGCGCCCCGAGCCAAGGGAAAGGGGTCCTTATATAGGGAAAAAGGCGCAAGCTAGGAGCAGGGATTCTATTGGATAATTCTAATGAGGCATTGTACAGAGCTATTCCCATTGGTCAATGTATATGAGGCGCTATACAGGGTTATTCAAATGAGGCAAAGTACAGAGTTATTCAAATGAGGTGAAACATAGAGTCTTTCAAATGAGGCGAAATACAGAATCATTTCCATTGGATGGTTCAAATGAGACACAGAGCCATTCCAGATCAGCATATTCTCAAGGTCTGGTGTCTGGTACAACAGACTCAATTCCCCCTCCCTCCGCGTCCAGATGGCTGACCTTGGGGGCGGAGACCTTGGGATGGAGTGTTTCTCATTGGGCAGGGCTCAGGGGCCGGGCTCCAGGCCGGCCCACCTGGTGCTCGTTGCTTGGCCCCAGCCCCGAGGCGAGGCAGGCATCCATGAATTCTAGATGTTCTCCTGCCATTTTCACGAAGGCCAGAGAGAGAGCAGAGCACCACACATTTGGTGGCCTGGTAGGGTGCTGCTGTGACTGGAGTTTTGCAGTTTACAGTGAGTCGTTTCCATGAGAGCTTGGCTGCGGTTGGTGCTACCCCTTCCCTGGGGATTGAGCAAAGACGTTGGGCTCACTGGGAAGTCGCCTGGGCAGCACTCCCTTGGTGTTAAAGACTCCTCTCTGGTGAAGTCTCTTGCCTGCTTTCAGTAGTGTGGGCTGAGCTGGCATCGTGAGAAAAGCAACCCTGAGACAGCAGAGGCAAGCTGCATGACAGCCGATCGATCGATCAGTTTGAAAGCGCATGTAGATGGGAACAAGGGTGGAGGGAAAACAGTAGTATAAAGAATGGAGAGATGAGGCCAAAGAGTAGAAGACCAAACGAGCCGGAGAGGAGCTGGGGACACCCCCACGAGTCCCAGCAGAGGCAGGCTGACCTTGCGAGCTCCAGGCCAGCCTGGTCTACATAGTAAGATGCTGCCTCAAAACAAACAAACAAACAAAAAACGTGGAGAGATGGCTCAGCAGTTAAGAACACCCGCCACACTCCTAGGGAGGACCAGGGTCCAACTCCCAGCACTCTAGGTGGCTCACAACAGTCTGTAACTCCAGTCTCGGGAATCTAAGGCCCTATTCTGGCCTCCAGATGCCAGGCGCACCATGTGGTGCATAGACTCACAAGGAGGCAAAACATTCGTGTATGTAAAGTAATAATTAAACAAAAATAAAAGGCTGGGCGGTGGGGGTGCACGCCTTTAATCCCAGCACTCAGGAGGCAGAGACAGGTGGCTCTCAGTGAGTTCGAGACCACCTGGACTATAGAGCGAGTTCCAGGACAGCCAAGGACTACACAGAGAAACCCTACCTCAATAAATAAATAAATAAATAAATAACCACAAAGGAGAAACTGCAGGCCCCAGTCACTGTAATAAGAGTCCCAGAGAACTGTCAAGTGTTCAGGACGGGTCCTGGATACCCCTTGCCAACAGCTGTATACTGCCGGGTCTCAAGGGCTGAAGGATCTGGGCTCATCTGCCAGGAAGCTGCAATTCCAGGTGTTGGGAAGAGTTGAAGAATCCTGGTTCCCATCCCTATCTACACAAGAGCTACACCAGAGCTTCACACTAGAGGGCGCCACTTGCTAACAGACAAGGGGTAAGACAAAACCAGCCCAAACCTGAATTTAAAGAGCTTCTTACAACTAATAATTACCTAGGTAGACCAAAAGGACTGCTCATTGATACCATGATCCCAGCATTTCTGAGCTGAAGCAGAAGGATCCTGAGTTTGAGGCCAGCCTATGCTACACAGTGAGTTTGAGCCATCATAAATTACAAAGTTTGCCGGGTGTTGGTGGCACACGCCTTTAATCCCAGCACTCAGGAGACAGAGGCAGGTGGATCTCTGTGAGTTCAAGGCCAGTCTGGTCTACCTACGGAGCTACACAGAGAAACCCTGTCTCGAAACCCCCTTCTCTCCCCCAAAAAAAGAAAAGAAAAAGAAAACCAAACAAGCAAAAAGCTTAGCTCTCATCCATTCCGATCTTTCAAAGTAAAGCCTGAGAGGCTGTGTGATTTGTTGAGGTCACAAAAGTGGAGATAAAGACTCGGTCCAGGTTAACTTCACTTCTTGTTTTGTTTTATTTATTTATTATTTTTGTTTGTTGAGACAGGGTTTCTCTTGGAACTTGCTCTGTAGACCAGGCTGGCCTCAGAGATCTGCCTGCCTCTGCCTCCCGAGTGCTGAGATTAAAGGTGTGCACCAGCGGCACCACCACCAGGCACATTCTTTAGGTCAAAGCTGCCTTGGGACTCTGGAATCTCCCCTCAGTACAAAGAGCTGTACACTACAACAAACCCATTCAATATTGGACATTATGGGGCTATGATGCTTCCTTTCTCCCCAGGCCCCTGCTGGTGTCCCCCAATAAAATCAAAGCTGACTTGACCAGTAGGGGAGCATTATTTATTTAGTTTGACTATGGCTTACAACTGCTTCTCTTTTTTCCATGCTGCTGTCATTAGGCACCCTTCCGTCACACCATGTGTCCTCCACCTCCAATTAGGGCAACTCAGAAATAGCTTTCTTGGCTGGGGGACCAGTTGGCTTCTGGTGTTCTTTGCTTTTTTCCTCATACATCAGAATCCTGCAAGAGACACAAGCATCAGGGACACATCTCTCAAGGGAGTAGATCTCAGGCCCCTGCAAGAATTCAGAAGGGGTGGAAGAATAGAGGCAGGGAAGAATGCTGGAGACTGTGGGGCCAGAGCTATGGATGGGTTGGGGGTAATGAAGGATCTTGGAAGGGTCCCTCTAAGGAGGAGGGGCGGTTGCCGGGGACAAGGTTAGGGCTAGCGATAGGGAAGTCAGGGGAGTTTAGAGAAGTCAGGGGAGTTCAGGGAAGTTCAGTGGACGCTCACACTTTCAAGATGGCGGATCTCTTGCCCAGCATCATTCTGAGAAAGTCTGAGTAGCTGAACGTCTCCTCAGAGCCACTGGACACCTCTCTGATTAACTTCTTTAGCTCTAGGTGGGTCTTGGGAACCCCGAGTTTCTCCAGCATTTGCTTCAAGGACATGATATCTGATGGTGGGAAAGGAGGGTCCCCTCAGTCTGCCATCCTGTCCCCCACGCACCCATCCCCGACCCTTGTGTTATCAACTGTGGCTGGACCTTTGCCTGTTCACAGGGGACAGCGCTAGAAGAGACTGCCGCTTGCCTAGGTGTGCACACAACCCCCACACACACACACACCCTCTTTTTCTCACCAATATCTCCATCTCCGTTCAGATCAAACTCCATGTACTTCTCTAGGGGGAAAAAAGAGCAGAGAGTGATTGCTGGTTATGGGGGTTTAAGGAAGAGGTAGTCAGTGCCCGCACAGTGTAGATTGTGGAGGGAGGGGAGGGGCAGGCAGAGGAAGTTGGGGGGAGCCTATAAGGGGTGTAAGATGAGCAGGACACAATGGAGAGAGGTGCAAAGACAGCCATCCCTTTCCCACCACAAAAATCAACTGTTTTTGCTGGCCTCACTGTGATCTTGTTAACCCCCCCCCCAGTGTCCCCCAACGGCCCCCCCCCCCCCCACCTTCC